GTTTCTGTAATGAACAGTCTTGTTCCGGCGGAGACTGGGACGTCTCAGAAGAGTTAAAGCGGTGCGTTCTCTACCAGCTGTCGAAGCTGGCACCCGGTCCCTCCCCTGGAGCGCCTCCTGCGTCCGTATGGAACGAGACTGTATTTCGGGTAGATCCCAGCGACCACCAATGCCGCCTACCGCTTCGCGAAAGATCGGTTGTGGATGAAATTACACGCTTCTCAAGCAGGGTGGAAGTTGAATAGAAATGGGCCGTTTAGCTCTCTAATCAAACAATATGCTGCGCAACAGCGTAACAAGAACAAACGCCCTGGCGACCTGCACTGGGGTTGTGTGGTGACCTCCTTCTGGTGGAGGATCGTACCGACCGGGTAATATTCCTTGGCGTTATGCGGAAACCCAGTCCGCGGCTCAGCAGAACTGTTTCTGGTGGTTGGATGTTTCTACCCTTACCTGCTCCCGCTCGACAGCAAAATTTTGGGAAAGTCTGTAAAGAGGTCGTCGAGAGGACATGCCTTGTCCAGACTTTTTCAAAGTCCCCATAAACCCTTTCAAAGTTCTTTCGTTACTGAATAAAAAGTAGAGAGATTTGTTCTGTGGGTTTTGTGAAGGAAAGTGCCGGCGAGCGCCGTTTGACGCTCATTGCAAATCCGTAAGCGCGGCGTGATCACGTCGTGAACATCAAATTTTACGTCAATAAAAATTGTCATAAAGTAGTGTAATAGTCGAGAAAAATCTTCCGTATAATATATGTCGAAAACGTAAAGAAAGTCGGATGGATGCAGTAGTGCAAGTGAAGTGCGATGGTTAAAGACGTTCATCATGCCGTGGTGTTTTTCCAGAGTAAACGACCGTATTCTCTCCGCCAACGGCGTGTCATTCGAGAGCATCGACTATTCGAGCGCTGTCGACATCATTAAGAACGCTGAACACATCAATATGGTAAGCTTTACGATAAGTAGTTCCAGTTTTACAGTAGTATTTTGCCTTGTCTTTGGGTTTCTAATTATCTTGATATGTTTGAGTTTAATATAGTCTTGGGACAATGTATAAAAAAATATTAATCGGCGCCGTTCCGCTTGGAGGGGGCATTTTGAATTTTTGCCAGTTCCTTTTGTTACTTGTTAAACAACAGGCCTCACTTTGGTTCCTGTAAATTCTTGTGAAGCTGCGAAATAGAAAAAAATGAGCCACTTTGGTTACAGGAGTTTACAGGTCTTCACAAGGTAGCCACAAAGGTTGAGCACCACTCGGTGCCCCCATCAAATCGAACTGCGTCGAATCTGAATCTTCTGGTATTGG